GCTTGGGGTTGAATATGAAGAAAATCCAGAAAACGGTTCTTGAGATAGCTTAACATGCACGTAAAACGTGAAAGTCCCCTTGTGACCTTGAAATGAAGGTCAACGTCACCAAACCTGACTTGGACCTTTCTTATAGTGTGATGAACCTAGGTACCAAATATGAAAAGAATCTAGTGAACGGTTCTTAAGATATTCCAATTCATGCGTACATACGGACAGACCCAAATACTATATAAATATAAATAAAGTGAGAATATGAAGGGACAGGCATAAGTTTGAAACAGAAAAGTTTGACACATCACAGTTGGACACAACAGTTTGGTTCATCATGTCTCACCATAGTGACAAGGGGGGGCCATGTCTCACCATAGTGACTAGCACACCATCTGCAATGGGTCCTTCATGTCTCACCATTGTGACTAGCACACCATCTGCAATGGGTCCTTCATGTCTCACCATTGTGACTAGCACACCATCTGCAATGGGTCCTTCATGTCTCATCATCGTGACTAGCAGACCATCTGCCATGGGTCCTTCATGTCTCATCATCGTGACTAGCAGACCATCTGCCATGGGTATTTCATGTCTCACCATAGTGACTAGCACACCATCTGCCATGGGTCCTTCATGTCTCACCATAGTGACTAGCAGACCATCTGCCATGGGTCCTTCATGTCTCACCATAGTGACTAGCACACCATCTGCCATGGGTCCTTCATGTCTCACCATAGTGACTAGCAGACCATCTGCCATGGGTCCTTCATGTCTCACCATAGTGACTAGCACACCATCTGCAATGGGTCCTTCATGTCTCACCATAGTGACTAGCACACCATCTGCCATGGGTCCTTCATGTCTCACCATAGTGACTAGCAGACCATCTGCCATGGGTCCTTCATGTCTCACCATAGTGACTAGCACACCATCTGCCATGGGTATTTCATGTCTCACCATAGTGACTAGCACACCATCTGCCATGGGTCCTTCATGTCTCACCATAGTGACTAGCACACCATCTGCAATGGGTCCTTCATGTGTCATCATCGTGACCAGCAGACCATCTGCCATGGGTCCTTCATGTCTCACCAAACTGACAAGCAGACCATCTGCAATGGGTCCTTCATGTCTCATCATCGTGACTAGCAGACCATCTGCCATGGGTCCTTCATGTCTCACCAAAGTGACTAGCAGACCATCTGCCATGGGTCCTTCATGTCTCACCATAGTGACGAGGACACCATCTGCCATGGGTCCTTCATGTCTCACCAAAGTGACTAGCAGACCATCTGCCATGGGTCCTTCATGTCTCACCAAAGTGACTAGCAGACCATCTGCCATGGGTCCTTCATGTCTCACCAAAGTGACTCATCTGCCATGGGTCCTTCATGTCTCACCAAAGTGACTAGCACACCATCTGCCATGGGTCCTTCATGTCTCACCCAAAGTGACTAGCAGGACCATCTGCCATGTCTGGTCCTTCATGTCAGTCATCATAGTGACTATAGACCATCTGCCATGGGTCCTTACTAGTAGACCATCTGCCATGGGTCTGGAGTCTCACCCTACTGACTAGCACACCATCTGCCATGGGTCCTTCATGTCTCAACATAGTGACGAGGACACAAGTAATTATGGTCCATCTGTCTGGTCTGGTTGTGGAGACTGGAGCAGGTCTGCTCCAGTATCTGGAGTTATAGTCTGTCTGGTCAGGTTGTGTAGAGTGTAACAGGTCTGCCCCAGTATCTGGAGTTATAGTCTGTCTGGTCAGGTTGTGTAGAGTGTAACAGGTCTGCCCCAGTATCTGGAGATATAGTCTGTCTGGTCAGGTTGTGTAGAGTGTAACAGGTCTGCCCCAGTATCTGGAGTTATAGTCTGTCTGGTCAGGTTGTGTAGAGTGTAACAGGTCTGCCCCAGTATCTGGAGTTATAGTCTGTCTGGTCAGGTTGTGTAGAGTGTAACAGGTCTGCCCCAGTATCTGGAGATATAGTCTGTCTGGTCAGGTTGTGTAGAGTGTAACAGGTCTGCCCCAGTATCTGGAGTTATAGTCTGTCTGGTCAGGTTGTGTAGAGTGTAACAGGTCTGCCCCAGTATCTGGAGTTATAGTCTGTCTGGTCAGGTTGTGTAGAGTGTAACAGGTCTGCCCCAGTATCTGGAGATACAGTCTGTCTGGTCAGGTTGTGTAGAGTGTAACAGGTCTGCCCCAGTATCTGGAGATATAGTCTGTCTGGTCAGGTTGTGTAGAGTGTAACAGGTCTGCCCCAGTATCTGGAGTTATAGTCTGTCTGGTCAGGTTGTGTAGAGTGTAACAGGTCTGCCCCAGTATCTGGAGATATAGTCTGTCTGGTCAGGTTGTGTAGAGTGTAACAGGTCTGCCCCAGTATCTGGAGTTATAGTCTGTCTGGTCAGGTTGTGTAGAGTGTAACAGGTCTGCCCCAGTATCTGGAGTTATAGTCTGTCTGGTCAGGTTGTGTAGAGTGTAACAGGTCTGCCCCAGTATCTGGAGTTATAGTCTGTCTGGTCAGGTTGTGTAGAGTCTGTCTGGTCAGGTTGTGTATGACAGGTCTGCCCCAGTATCTGGAGATATAGTCTGTCTGGTCAGGTTGTGTAGAGTGTAACAGGTCTGCCCCAGTATCTGGAGTTATAGTCTGTCTGGTCAGGTTGTGTAGAGTGTAACAGGTCTGCCCCAGTATCTGGAGATATAGTCTGTCTGGTCAGGTTGTGTAGAGTGTAACAGGTCTGCCCCAGTATCTGGAGATATAGTCTGTCTGGTTAGGTTGTGTAGAGTGTAACAGGTCTGCCCCAGTATCTGGAGATACAGTCTGTCTGGTCACGTTGTGGAGACTGGAGCAGGTCTGCCCCAGTATCTGGAGATATAGTCTGCCCCAGTATCTGGAGATATAGTCTGTCTGGTCAGGTTGTGTAGACTGTAGCAGGTCTGCTTGTGGAATGCCTTGCAGTGATTACCTGATCTAAGCATGAAGTCCTGTATTGATGGTGAAGAGTTAAGCGAGTGAACATTTGCCTTCAGCTTGCCATTAATCCCTTCAGCTGCTGCCAGTAGACACCAGACAGATGCAAGTTGTGCACGACCGTAACACTCACTCTGCCAACGTAGTAGGTAAATTGCCCACCTGATCCCAAACCTAATGGTCATGTCTGCTGTGAACATACTCAGGCTACAAGCCAGCTGGTGGGCAGCCTCTGATGTGTCGTCCTGACCACAGCAGCAGTACACACTGAAGGCTCAGGCAGACATCGCAATGCATGGTGCTACACACAAACCTGTGGCACAAGTGTTGTAACAGCAATTTGCTCAATATTCCTTATCTACATTAAAGTGAAAAAGATGAGCAATACAACCCTATTCCATTAGCCTCCACAACCAACAATATTTTGTCTGCAAGCATCCATCCAGTAGTAATTTTGCCTGCACATGTGTGGGTCATCTGGACAAATCTGATATTGGCGTTGTTCATAGTAAACTCTTTGTTTGGATATTTATTCTTCTGTCCATTTCCAAGTCAAGTGTCCTAGCAAATCCTGCTTAGCTGTTCCCAGCCTGACTGTGGGGGTTGTATGACTGCCATGCTGACCCTCACAAAACACAGATGACCCTTGCAATAGTTCTTTCTGCCACTTAAGGTCAACTGAGTAAAACAGTAACATCATCATGTGACATAATCTCAACATAAATATCCTCACTTCCAAAGATAATTGCATCAGAGATTATTTGTCATGATCGAGCACTTGAGCAATAACTTGAGATCACAAATACACCCCTTCCATGCCCTGCGTACAGATCCATGGGTAGTCCTCTCATTACTGAAACATGTTACTCTCATACCACATTTCTTTCGGACTAATTGCACTATACAGGCTATACAGGAATGGTTGCATGTCCTACATGCATTCTACATTAAGCTCACAACTGCATGTTACTCGCCTACAGTAACAAAACCCCTAGCAATGACAATGGTTCATTCCAATACCACACGGGGTGGATGAAGCAAGGGATTTCAAAGAGATATGTGTCTTGGAATAAGCATGATAACAAAATATGCAAATAGATGAAAAAATACAAATAAAAAACAAACAAATATGACTCTCATACATTTAAATTATCAAAATGGGGTTGCGAGTTAAGTAGGCTCAACATCTTTTGGGTGGCCTTTGATGTTGTACACTGCTCCACAACCCCCCTTATCAGTGAAATGAATGAGACTTTACTCAATATTGTAGATGAGTGCAAGTGCAGTATGGAAGTCCCTGGAGGGGGGAAGGCACTGGTCTGTTGTGAAGTGTCTGCAGCTGATTATACAGCCGTATATTATCTTTAACATGATTACCCAAATGACTGCTGCAGTCTGCTGTTATCTTCTACTCCCAGTACATTGTTTTATTTGGATTGTACATCTTTGTGGCAGCAGATTGGGGTTATCAAGTCGAACTGTTTCATATGCTATACTCCATGCTGTAAACATGGCAGCCAGTGATCATTTACCCTTATGTCTCGCTCATTCTCAACTTTAAAAAATGGAACAATAATAGCTGAAGAAGGCAGATGGAGATCATTGATCAAATGACAGGTGCACCAAGCGATATTGCACCCGGAGCTGGTCTTCAGTACAAGTAAGATCAAACACTACTGGCGGTTGCAATAATTGCTCATGATGCACTTATGGCTTCCAGCTGAAGAGGAGCCAGGATATCGAAAACTGTACGAGTTTGGTATGTGTGTGTGGAAACCCATGTAATAGTCAAAAACAGGTTGACCTGCGTGTGTCCAGGACAACCACCAAGTTACTAGTGTAACGCCGCCAACACTGACTGGAAAGTAGTTGTGTCATTGCCCTTTAACAGCATTGGTGATGATGGTCGGAAGTAATTGGGTTGTATTCATTAAATGAGTTTATTATGAACCCTAGGTGTTATAAGTTGTGTCAAGGTGCAGGCTCATGTAGTTTAAGTGTACACTATCTCCCAGTTACACATTTTCTTACCTTCTGAGAGGAGAAGAGTTACACAGATGTAGAGGATATGTTGAACTGTCTGCAGGAAGCTGTGCCTGTCCACAGGAAGTAACCAGGCAGACATCTTGGAAACCTGATGAAGATGTAATTTCTGTAAGTAAAACAATTGTGTTAGTCAGACAACATGTGGTTTAGTTCAGGTTTGACTCTTGTCATAGTCTGACATCAATAAAGTGTTGAGGTAAGATATTATCTTGAAAAAACAATAATATGAATAAATTCCTATAATGTACTTTTGACTGCTGCAGGATATTTCATCACAGTCCCACATAAACTGACACATCTTGACATAATAATTGAGGCATCAGGCTCTGTAGCACAGTCAAACTAATATGTAACATTACAGTCAGTACTGTATGTGCCCACTCCCTACTCCAGAATACAGTCAGTACTGTATGTGCCCACTCCCTACTCCAGAATACAGTCAGTACTGTATGTGTACCCCCTCCCTACTCCAGAATACAAGTACCGTGGGGGTACCACCCAGTACTGTATCAGTGCCAACTCCCTACTACAGTCAGAATGCCCAGTCAGTACAGTCAGTACTGTATGTGCCCACTCCCTACTCCAGAATACAGTCAGTACTGTAGGTGCCCACTCCCTACTCCAGAATACAGTCAGTACTGTATGTGCCCACTCCCTACTCCAGAATACTGCCACTCCAGAATTTGCCCACCCCCTACTCCAGAATACAGTCAGTACTGTATGTGCCCACTGCCCAGTCCAGAATACAGTCTGTACTGTATGTGCCTACATAGACCCACATCTCTGGACAGTTCATTATAATGGGTGTAATATTCACACAATCTATATACCGTATTTGTAGAAATTACTTAGTACGTGTTCAGCAAAGAGCTGAACAGTAAATGTTATTAGGTGCAGCCTACTTTGTAAATGGAGGAGTAACTACACATGGACTGTTAAAGATTGTCTACCAGAGACATGTGTCTGGACGCACCCTCTTTAAGCTGTCAGTTTCTTTACTGCCATATAGAACTCAGCACATCATTTTTTTAAAGAAAGGCTGTAATTGTGAACAATTGTACATAATTTGATTTATCATCTGATGACTTTGGACCAGCATGATTCTGTGAAGAAATCTCTTGTTGGAATCTACTCTCTCCACACAACTACATTATTCAGTGACAAACACTATAGTGAAGTCACTCAACTCATTGTCATTGATTATAAAGAAAAATGGATTTCAGTAATAAACAAGATGACAAAGTCATCAATATCCCCTGCAATGGTAAAATATTCTTCATAAATATGTCAACCAGTTGGTTCTAGAATACCCACAAAGTGGAAGGAGAGCATTGAAAGGTTTCACCACCAGACCTATCTATGTGCCAGGTTTGGTGAAGAAACATTAAACGGTTTTAAAGTTCTGCTCCAGAAAGGAGCACTTACCACCAATTTCAAAGTAAAACTTGTTGCCATGGAAATGCAAAAATTATTTTATTCAGAAATCCAAAACTATAAAAAAAAAAAAAAACCCAGTTCACCACCAGACCTATCTAGAAGAAACACTGAGCAGTTTTAAAGTTCTGCTCCGGAAAAGAGCACTACCACCCCCTTTTTCAGTTGAAGTCAAACTTGTTGCCATGCCAGTGCAAAAAGAACTATTTTATTCAGAAATCCAAAACTATGAAAAGGTCTACCACAGATTTTAGCTACCACAGATACCACAGGTCCACTACAGATACCCTTGATACCTCTGGTCTACCACAGATACAATTTTCATGCATGAAAAACTTCCTTATAGGAACAAACATCACAATAATTACAGAAATCAACCTGTTTTGGAGAAGAGGTAAATTAATGATTTAACAGATGATTAACGAGAAATGACCTCTGATGACAAAAGGTCACAAGGCCTTTCATTCAGGACAGGTGAGCTATGATGACCTACTAATATACTGTTTCCAGTGCAAGTTCATTTATCCTTTGGGTACAGAAACAGCTGTAACAACAGGGGCCCCACTACAAAAGACAGCAACCAAACTTATAGTTATGATTTGCATTGTCTGACAGCTAATGCTAGATCTGTACAGAAGAGAACACAATGACAATGGTATTTTCACTCCTGTTAGTGTATTTTGTGCTCAATGACACCATTATTGTGAGATTCAGAAGCATCGGTGCTAAAGTCCTGCAGTGGCAGGGTTACATAGATAATGGTAATATTGACAGAAACAGTCTGGTTTAACCAACATCAGCAATCCTTTTGAAATCTCCTTTCCATGTCAGCAACCCCTCATCACTGATGGCAAAACAATATGGCCATTTCACAAGTCACTGGAAGCAAACAGACAAAACAGAATTCACCATGGTGAATATAGAGCCTGCCAGCAGGACATTACAGCAGGCACAAGGGGTGTTTACATGACAGTACATAGACTGTCTATTATGTAATACAACACCAACATAGTCTTTCAACACATGCCAGGTCTTCTTAAAGCATATTTATGGAGGTATGTCAAAATCTCAACACACCACAAAATCCAAGCACTCTTCACAACTAAAGATGCATTACAGATTGGAAAAGAGTTACAGTTCATCTGGATGGTTACATACAAACATCAAGTCTGGAGATGGATATAGCTCTGCTGGCTACATAGATAAATGGAATTCAATATGTTTGGTTTGAGAAATTAATCATGCATAAACTGTGCGTGTGACACCACACTCAGAAGTAATTCACACATGAAAGATCCAGAACTATCAACCTACAACAACAAGGACACAATCCACACATCTGCGAGAGATGTGGAACAGATTTCCACAACCAAGTGAACAAATCACTGAATCCACTAATAGTTTCACCTGTCTCTTCAACATGGAAGACTAGGTACATCTGAAACCACCTTAAGTGAAACAACTTTTGATTGCTTTTTTCTTGCACTGACAATGCAAGCAAGAATTCCCTGTTTCTGTTGAGAATGCTACATGACACAACACGGTTACAGGATCCACAGGATCCAGATGGCCTCAGGCAACATTCCAGTCAGCTGAATCAACTGTCAGGCAACACAAAGCACTGTGGTGTAACAACTACCTCATCAACCTGTGAGCATGCATGTGTACAAGCACGGCTCGGGGAGGAGTTTCTCAAGTCCTTTACTAGCAAGCTATCACCTTTAATAATAAAGGAATGCAGAAGAGAAGAGGAGTGCCACATACTCCACAGTCACAGGATGACTGGATGAGTCACGTTAATTTGAAAGTGCTATGTGTCCAGCCTCCATCCAAGATGCCATGTATAGTATCAACCTTAGTATAGCCTCAACCAATATACAGCATCAACCTTTGTATAGCCTCAATCAATGTACAGTATCAACCTTAGTATAGCCTTAATCATGTACAGTATCAACCTTAGTATAGCCTCAACCATGTACATCATCAACCTTAGTATAGCCTTAACCATGTTCAGCATCAACCTTTGTTTAACCTTAACCATGTACAGTATCAACCTTAGTATAGCCTTACCCATGTACAGTATCAACCTTAGTATAGCCTTAACCATGTACATCATCAACCTTAGTATAGCCTCAACCATGTACATCATCAACCTTAGTATAGCCTTAACCATGTACAGCATCAACCTTTGTTTAGCCTTAACCATGTACATCATCAACCTTAGTATAGCCTTACCCATGTACAGTATCAACCTTAGTATAGCCTTAACCATGTACATCATCAACCTTAGCATAGCCACAACCATGTACAACATCAACCTTAGCATAGCCTTAACCATGTACAGCATCAACCTTTGTTTAGCCTTAACCATGTACATCATCAACCTTAGTATAGCCTTAACCATGTACAGTATCAACCTTAGTATAGCCTCAACCATGTACATCAGTATCAACCTTAGTATAGCCTCAACCATGTACATCATCAACCATGTACAGTATCAATCAACCATGTATAGCCTCAACCATCAACCTTTGTACAGCCTCAACCATGTACAGCATCAACCTTTGTATAGCCTCAACCAATGTACAACATCAACCATGTACATCATCAACCTTAGTATAGCCTCAACCATGTACAGTATCAACCTTATGTATAGCCTCAACCATGTACATCATCAACCATGTACAGTATCAACCTTAGTATAGCCTCAACCATGTACAACATCAACCATGTACAGTATCAACCTTAGTATAGCCTCAACCAATATACAGTATCAACCTTAGTATAGCCTAAACCATGTACAACATCAACCATGTACAGTATCAACCTTAGTATAGCCTCAACCTTTAAACAATATCAACCTTTGTATAGCCTCAACCATGTACAACATCAACCATGTACAGTATCAACCTTAGTATAGCCTTAAACAATATACAACATTCACCTTAGTATAGCCTCAACCATGTACAACATCAACCATGTACAGTATCAACCTTAGTATAGCCTCAAACAATATACAGTATTCACCTTAGTATAGCCTCAACCATGTACAACATCAACCATGTACAGTATCAACCTTAGTATAGCCTCAACCAATGTACAGTATCAACCTTTGTATAGCCTCAACCAATGTACAGTATCAACCTTTGTATAGCCTCAACCATGTACAACATCAACCATGTACAGTATCAACCTTAGTATAGCCTCAACCATGTACAGTATCAACCTTTGTATAGCCTCAACTATGTACAACATCAACCATGTACAGTATCAACCTTTTGTATAGCTCTCAATAGCCTCAACCATGTACAACATCAACCATGTACAGTATCAACCTTAGTATAGCCTCAACCATGTACAGTATCAACCTTAGTATAGCCTCAAACAATGTACAACATCAACCTTAGTATAGCCTCAACCATGTACAACATCAACCATGTACAGTATCAACCTTAGTATAGCCTTAAACAATATACAACATTCACCTTAGTATAGCCTCAACCATGTACAACATCAACCATGTACAGTATCAACCTTTGTATAGCCTCAATCATGTACAACATCAACCATGTACAGTATCAACCTTAGTATAGCCTCAACCATGTACATCATCAATCTTAGTATAGCCTCAACCTAAGTATAGCCTCAACCCATGTACAGCCATGCCCAGTTTTAAGTATAAAGACAATATATAGTTTCATCAATTTGGCTCAAATTAAAATGGGTTTTGCATAACACTTTCCTCATTATGTTTGGTACAGTATGATATATTGTGTTTATTATTTTCCATAATGGCACAATTAGAATAAAGTCATTGTATTAGAGTTTCTTGCTAATTCTTTGCTTATTTCGTGGTAATTTAGATGTTTAGCAAAGTGAACACAATATGTTCTGGGCTGACAATGGCTGTGATATGGCTCCAACTGTATTTCAGGTTTCACTTATCTGTATGTCCTAAGTGTATTTCCTGTACCTTTAGAAGTTGATGCATCCTTCAGTCAGTTGCGGAACAGGGTATTGAATGTAGACTGAACTGTATTGATTATTGATTTTGACCTCAATGAAGAGTAGCTAATGCTATGACTGACTGGGTTTAGTTTTACGCCGCTTTTAGCAATATTCCAGCAATATCACGGCGGGGGACACCAGAAATGGGCTTAACACACTGTGCCCATGTGGGGAATCGAACCCGGGTCTTCGGCGTGACGAGCCAACTCTTTAACCACTAGGCTACCCCACCGTCCCCTAATGCTACCAAGAGTGAGGAGTTACCCATCCCACCTCCATACCACTGCTTTACTTTCAGTGAATGCACTTTTCAGTATAATACTGTTTGATGTGGTCATATGTACTTAAAATTGATCAACTTTATCCTAATTCAGCTCTATATATACACCTGTGCATTAATTAAGCACCACCCTATTTTAGAAAATAAGATGTGATGCTAAAGAAAAGTTAGGGTATAGCCATCAATTTAATCAACCTGTAGCTAAAGAAGCTTTATCCACTGACAGTTTTACAAATACCATAACCCTTTCTATTCTTTATGAAAGAATACGTTGATGAAAATGTAATGGGACTGAATTTTTACCCAAAATAACTATTCCTCTCCTGCTCAAACTGCACAATTAAATTAAGTTTTGACTAAAAATAAGAATTCTGTTATATATACCAAGATGACATTTACACATCAAGTAAGCTTTAATTATGCATAATCAGGAAGAACCCGAATGTCAAAGATTCAGACCTCTTTCCAACAATTCAGATTGCTTATTGACAAAAACTGAAAAGACCACATAAGTATGATTTTGGAATAAATCTTATATGATTCTGAGTTTATTATACTGAATAAACTCATCTCCTTGCCGGATACTGATAATTACAGCTACAATTTGTTTGTTTTGTTTGGAAAGCAATTTTTACTGCATTTTAAACTTTTCATTTTTTTTAGTTTGACTGTAACTTTTCCTAAATCTCAGTTTACAAACTTTTATCCATTCACAATAAATAACAATTTATAGGCCACACACCAATCAATTATTACTTTTACTTTTCAAAATAAGGTAACTTGTTTTAGGACAGAACAACACCTGTTTTAAATATAGGCAATTATCCTAATTAAAATACATGGTAATTTCAATGATGTTTTCGTTTTTGAAATGTTAAATGCTTGCTCTATCAAATTATAAAGAATATTTTTTGGAAAGAGTTTAGAATTTCATTTCAGACAAAATTAATTGGTAAAAATATAGGGTGGTGCTTTTAATTTATGCACAGATGATAAAGATAGATGAAGATAAAATATTTATTGTGCAAACGTTCCATACAGAAACAGTGACAATATTCTATTAACTACATAAACAAGATATATAATGAATCATTTATATATGATGAGTAACAAAACATATAATAATACAAATGTGTATAATAATAATCATAATGACCTAGGACAATCAGATCTTCTATATTTGTTTAAAGTTGTACATGTGGTAGCAAATAATGTCTCTATTTTATTTCTAAAAAGGAGGTTAAATTTTTCAGTGGTAGTAAGGCCACAATATGTATATAAACAGGTACCATCACACACACACACACACACACACACACACACACACACACACACACACACACACACACACACACACACACACACACACACACACACACACACACACACACACACACACACACACACACACACACACACACACACACAGAGGGTGTTGTCCCATGTTGATATGGAGCATGCCAGCTGTCTATCTCACTCTCCGTCCATGTCAAAACATGTCTAACCAGTGATGGCAGTCTGGTCAGCTGCCAAACAAACATCCAGCCACAACTATTCCAACCATGCTGACTGCCCAATGTCCAGATACTGAACCAGCAGCTATGTACAGCCACATCCAAAACATTTAAACTCATGGAAAGGGAATAATTAATAAAACCTTAGACTACAGTTTCACACCAGACCCAAGGCAGCTATCATTTACAACCATGATGACACAAGCCTTCAGAAGCACTGTGCACTATGCAGTCTACAAGAGGTCACTTCTCAGCCAAACTAGGATGGCCTCTGTTGATTGGTGTGTCTACTAAATATTTTCAAACATAATCCCCTCCAGGGTCCAAACATGTTAGCCTAGTCTGTCTCACAGTCCCTGAACCACATTATTTTCCCCACTGCCAAGCCCTCTCTGCAGTGCTACAGCCCTAAATAAAGCAAGTCTAGATTTCCTCAGGTTCTGAATCTCTGGTCTACCTAGGGCTCCTTTTCAATTTAAATGGGCTTGTTTGTTACTATCAACATTATATATATTCAGAGACTAAGCATTAGTCTAATGTTAGCCATTCAAGCTGGGGCATCTGGATTGTAGATAGATTGGTGTACATGGTGGTGTAAATGGTCCTCCACATCAGAAATGATGCCCCCAATATGTTTTATTGTGATATGACAGCTCTTTCTTCAAGTTTGGGAAGTGTATGTATTCATAGATATGGGAAAGTTCAACACAAAACAGATTAGGGTACACACAACATGACTTTACACACACATCCACACCATCATGTGTTGCCGAGTTGAGGGAAATGGTTGTTTAGCTGTGGTAGTCATTGCAATACATGATGAAAGCTGCAATAAATGTCTTGACTTTGGTAAGGTGTGTGTTGTATATTCAGGCTTGTGACTGACACTGAACACTACATGTTGGAGCTCTCTGCCAGCTATTCCTGGCTGCCTGCATGTATACTTACCCACGTGTCATGACCCACTGGAGCATGCATCACAATGTAAACTTTCTTACAGCTGTTTCACACTGACATTTCAGGAGCATATTACATCAGATTGTGTTTTTACACCTTTCTTGTCTATTATCTTTCCTGTATTTTCTCTATCTGGCTGTTGCCAGTGTATCAGTATCTGTCTGGAGACTCAGGCGTACTAAAGTACTGTCGGAAATGCTAGAAAAATGCTTTTGAGCCTTAATACCTTTAGAAAGGTGATAAATGTATTATGTTGTCAATATATCAACTCACCTATAGTGTACCTAATTTTTATTTCAATTGATTTAACATTCCTATGCATGTAAAGGGCAGTTTACAGGAGAGAATTTGGTACCAAAAGAGTTCAACAACAGAAATCTGAAATAGTCTTTACATTTATGCTAATAATACAGGTGGTGTAAAAATATATATTAACGTTTTTCTTAAACAAATAAATGTTGAATGTTTGTGTTACTTTACTTAATTATCGTTTCTTTATTGAAGAAATATTAATATAAATGTTAAGTCTTGATAAATAAGTTTCCCGTCATGCATGCACATCTTTATCACAGCGTCCACTATGGCAACTGATAGAGTCAGAGCTTGGATTCTAAAAGTTGACACTAGTCACTAGTCAGAGCTTGGATTCTACTAGCTGTCACTATTCACTGGTCAGAACTTGGATTCTGCTAGTTGATCTACATTGACCTTTAGCATAAATACAACTGATAAAAGTGACACTAGATATCAGGATAACGGAAAGGCAAAAACATTTCCTAACAACAAGATGCCACATCAATCCTGTATGTAAGCTATAAATAAGAGTATGGCTAGTTACACTTCTCATGGAAGACATGTTTACTTAAGGTGTAGGGCATTTGGCGAAACCATATGTTTTTTAGAGAAAATTTGGCTATTGATCACCTGAACATTAAAAAATAAGTTAGACATCATGCCTGTTGGCACATAATAGATTTGTTTGATGGTGCCATGGTTGTGAATGTTATCATACCTTTAGGTATTTCACTCAGAGTAAACTTAACATAGAGAGAATAACATGTTTTCATCACTACATGTATCATACATCCTGTCTGATGATGGCAGATCTAAATCGGGACAAATCTGGATTCATTTGATGGACACATTCACTGGTGAGAATGTCATACTATGACTAGCTTTGTGTTCTAAAATAGTATTTCATTATCACACACAGACATTTTGGTAATGTAATGCCATATTAAGCTTACAGACATATAATTCCAGGGTTTGATGCAAGGGGTAGTATTCGACTTGCCTGTAAGGTTGGCCCATGTCTTGGTGGGGAGACACTTACCTTTGTTTGAAGTATAGATCCAGTAAGACCTGGGATCATAGATCATGAAGTCCTGAAAGTAGGAATAGACAGTGTTATTGTATGCACAACCAATCACTCTACCACTGTCCCATTGTGGTAATTCCCAAGTATACACTCTCACTGATGTAAGGGCATGTTTGTTTTATTACAACTCATGTGATATTTCTCTACACAGGACACTCCAGCCCACATATTGCAACTGGCCCCGAATCCCCTCAGTTGACCTCTTCTGTTTTCCTGACAACTTGTGCTATGTTACATATGTGGGGCATCAGTTGGCATCACTGTTGGCCTTTAACAAATGTAGTTTAGAGTACACCTTTAACCTAACTCTGTAACCACAAGGTGATAGTCGTTAGGAAAATAGTCTCCTCTTTCGAGAAAGAATTCTTGAACAAAAGCCATGATTGTTAGACAAAGCTCTACACAGAGGTTACATAGAGAGAGGTGAGAGATCATGCCTTTTCCCTGGTTGTATGTATGCAAGTCTGCAGATCTGTAATTTCGTACTGAATTACAAGGAGGTTACATAGAGAGAGGGAGTGCCTATCTTCTCTCCAGATAATACAAGATGGGAGCGCCTTCTTTCCTCAATACAGCGCTACATATATTCTAGTATAGAGACACAGAGAGGTGGAAGCGCCTTCTTTCCTCAATACAGCGCTACATATATTCTAGTACAGAGACACAGAGAGGTGGAAGCGCCTTCTTTCCTCAATACAGCACTACATATATTCTAGTACAGAGACACAGAGAGGTGAGACACAGAGAGGTGGAAGCACCTTCTTTCCTCAATACAGCGCTACATATATTCTAGTATAGAGACACAGAGAGGTGAGACACAGAGAGGTGGAAGTGGCTCTTTCCTCCATAACTCTTATGTACAGCACTACATATATTCTAGTACAGAGTTACACAGAGGTGAGACTGAGATTGCTTGTAAGCCCCTTCCAGCTACCTGTCTCAGTGTTGTGGTACAAGAGCTACATGGATGCTGTGTGGAGAGAATCTGGTTAGCCTTTGTTCCCAGTGTGGCTCCACAGTTCTTCCAGTACGTCTGCCATAGCAGATAACAGCTAGACAGAGACATTTGTCAGCTGGAACATGCCAACACCTCAACTGACACTATGATTCATATGGACAGTTTGATAGTAATCTCCAAGTGAACTTCTTACAGGCTGGACACCGTGACTACAGCCAAGGACATAATGACTCACAGGAGCTTTCAGTTGGTTATGACCTTGTATATAAGATAACAAATATTGTGATGATGATCCAATAACTCCCCGATATGAAGGACCTTAACCATCTCTCTGTCATTGGTCTTAGTTACTGAGGAGCAAAGGTAGACACAAGCAACTCCATCAAATGGTTAAGTCTTGAAGTTCACTTGTTCATTTGACACAAGGATGAAAGTCTTGCAACGACATCATCCCATCCCCACCCAACCATGGTAAAATGTGTGACTCACACACCCTGTCTTCACACCTGTAGTACCCTGTTTCCTTCATGCTCCCTATCATCACCCACGCAACAATCTGTATGTCACATGCTGCTCTGGGCTGACCTCCATTTGATTGCATAACTATTCACGTAGTCTTCAATATTTCTAATATTCAGTTTTATTTAAACCCAATGCACACACAACACACAAATACATATGCACACAAACACACACTTAGATTAGGATTGATACATTAATTTGCCTTTAATTAACTGACTGACTGACTGACTGAGTTTGGTTTTACGCCGCTTTTAGCAATATTCCAGCAACATCACAGCAGGGGACACCAGAAATGGACTTCACACATTGTGCCCATGTGGGGATTCGAACCCGGGTCTTCGGCATGACGAGCCAACGTTTAACCATTAGGCTACCCCACCGCCCGCCTTTAATTAACATTTGGAGCATACAGATCTGTCAGATCACAAACCTGATCAGTGGACCTACCAGTACTGTCAGATCACAAACCTGATCAGTGGACCTACCAGTACTGTCAGATCACAAACCTGATCAGTGGACCTACCAGTACTGTCAGATCACAAACCTGATCAGTGGACCTTCCAGTACTGTCAGATCACAAACCTGATCAGTGGACCTACCAATACTGTCAGATCACAAACCTGATCAGTGGACCTACCAATACTGTCAGATCACAAACCTGATCAGTGGACCTACCAATACTGTCAGATCACAAACCTGATCAGTGGACCTACCAATACTGTCAGATCACAAACCTGATCAGTGGACCTACCAGTACTGTCAGATCACAAACCTGATCAGTGGACCTACCAATACTGTCAGATCACAAACCTGATCAGTGGACCTACCAGTACTGTCAGATCACAAACCTGATCAGTGGTGGACCTACCAGTACTGTCAGATCACAAACCTGATCAGTGGACCTACCAATACTGTCAGATCACAAACCTGATCAGTGGACCTACCAGTACTGTCAGATCACAAACCTGATCAGTGGACCTTCCAGTACTGTCAGATCACAAACCTGGATCAGTGGACCTTCCAGTACCTGTCAGATCACAAACCTGATCAGTGGACCTACCAATACTGTCAGATCACAAACCTGATCAGTGGACCTACCAGTACTGTCAGATCACAAACCTGATCAGTGGACCTACCAGTACTGTCAGATCACAAACCTGATCAGTGGACCTACCAGTACTGTCAGATCACAAACCTGATCAGTGGACCTACCAATACTGTCAGATCACAAACCTGATCAGTGGACCTACCAATACTGTCAGATCACAAACCTGATCAGTGGACCTTCCAGTACTGTCAGATCACAAACCTGATCAGTGGACCTTCCAGTACTGTCAGATCACAAACCTGATCAGTGGACCTACCAATACTGTCAGATCACAAACCTGATCAGTGGACCTACCAATACTGTCAGATCACAAACCTGATCAGTGGACCTACCAATACTGTCAGATCACAAACCTGATCAGTGGACCTTCCAGTACTGTCAGATCACAAACCTGATCAGTGGACCTACCAATACTGTCAGATCACAAACCTGATCAGTGGACCTTCCAGTACTGTCAGATCACAAACCTGATCAGTGGACCTACCAGTACTGTCAGATCACAAACCTGATCAGTGGACCTTCCAGTACTGTCAGATCACAAACCTGATCAGTGGACCTACCAGTACTGTCAGACTGTCAGATCACAAACCTGATCAGTGGACCTACCAGTACTGTCAGATCACAAACCTGATCAGTGGACCTTCCAGTACTGTCAGATCACAAACCTGATCAGTGGACCTTCCAGTACTGTCAGATCACAAACCTGATCAGTGGACCTACCAATACTGTCAGATCACAAACCTGATCAGTGGACCTACCAATACTGTCAGATCACAAACCTGATCAGTGGACCTACCAGTACTGTCAGATCACAAACCTGATCAGTGGACCTACCAATACTGTCAGATCACAAACCTGATCAGTGGACCTTCCAATACTGTCAGATCACAAGCCTGATCAGTGGACCTACCAATACTGTCAGATCACAAACCTGATCAGTGGACCTTCCAGTACTGTCAGATCACAAACCTGATCAGTGGACCTACCAATACTGTCAGATCACAAACCTGATCAGTGGACCTTCCAGTACTGTCAGATCACAAACCTGATCAGTGGACCTACCAATACTGTCAGATCACAAACCTGATCAGTGGACCTACCAATACTGTCAGATCACAAACCTGATCAGTGGACCTACCAATACTGTCAGATCACAAACCTGATCAGTGGACCTTCCAGTACTGTCAGATCACAAACCTGATCAGTGGACCTACCAGTACTGTCAGATCACAAACCTGATCAGTGGACCTACCAATACTGTCAGATCACAAACCTGATCAGTGGACCTTCCAGTACTGTCAGATCACAAACCTGATCAGTGGACCTACCAATACTGTCTGATCAGATCAGACAAACCTGATCAGTGGACCTACCAGTACTGTCAGATCACAAACCTGATCAGTGGACCTACCAATACTGTCAGATCACAAACCTGATCAGTGGACCTACCAGTACTGTCAGATCACAAACCTGATCAGTGGACCTACCAATACTGTCAGATCACAAACAAGCTGCATGGTTGTAAAAAAAAGCCTCAGAGCAACAATTAAAATTCTATCAAATAATATGACAGACAAAAAGAATTTTCATGAGTGGATTATTTTTAAATTTTCCCAAACACAAAAAGCTTGATTCTATTTGTGCTGAATTCCCTCGAGTACATTCATAACCTCTGGGAACAATATAAACTGCCATTTCAAAGACTGACTTTACTTCTTCTCAAACTACATGAATTATTCAGTGATGAAAACAAATTTCTTGATCAAATATGAAAACCTTACTTTCACATCAAACAAACATATTTTCACAACACAGCAACTGATTCTCATTACACACAAGTTTCTTCTACTTAACTTCCATGAAATCTCACCTATTGCTGTCTTATTCAGCTGTCACATTCATGCTGCACAAAGTATCCAAGTCAACAGAACAGAGAGACCTTGTCAATGCATACTGTATGTGCTTTACCCCTCACACAGAACAGTGACACCTTGTCAATGCATACAGTATGTGCTTTACCCCTCACACAGAACAGAGAGACCTTGTCAATGCATACAGTATGTACTTTACCCCTCACACAGAACAGTGACACCTTGTCAATGCATACAGTATGTACTTTACCCCTCACAACAGAACAGAGAGACCTTGTCAATGCATACAGTATGTACTTTACCCCTCACACAGAACAGTGACACCTTGTCAATGCATACAGTATGTACTTTACCCCTCACACAGAACAGAGAGACCTTGTCAATGCATACAGTATGTACTTTACCCCTCACACAGAACAGAGAGACCTTGTCAATGCATACTGTATGTGCTTTACCCCTCACACAGAACAGTGACACCTTGTCAATGCATACAGTATGTACTTTACCCCTCACACAGAACAGAGAGACCTTGTCAATGCATACTGTAT